TGCTGGGGTTTATTGCTATTAAGCATTATTATTACTGATTTTGGTTCCTCATTTTCCTTTATAAAAAGACAACAGAGAAAAAGACAGATACAGGTTGATTTCCATCAACTTGGCTCCAGGTTTGGCTAGTCACATTACCAGGCAATATGAGAGTTGCACACACAGATGCTGTTAAAACAGCCTTTCTAATTAAATTCCAAGAGAAATCGGGCAGGACTCATTCCAGTTCCATCATCTTTTGATTAACTATCCTCACACACTAGGAAAGAAGATGTGACCTCTAATTTTTTTTGAGAGATGTGCTGTTTTTAGTATTAACCACACCGTCTTTTCATTGTTCCTTGAGCAGGGTTGGGAGGAGAAATATAATTACACACAATGGGGGTATAATTCATACATTAAAAGTGACATTAAAATGCTAGATAAAAATATAGCAATATGAGAGCTTGCCCATCACTCCTGTAGGGATTACTGGCACCCTCCAACTCTGCCACTCACAAGGCTCTCGAGCCAGCGCCGCGGGAAGCGCGCAGGATTAACGCTGCCGGGCTCTGACCCCGGCCGCTGGGGAGGGGGCCACGAGACGCCCCGTTTCGGTCGCTGCACGCCCGGCTGGGCCCGGCGCTGCTGGGCTTTACCAGCCTCAGCACCAGGGGCTGAGCTCCTGCAGCGCACCAGTGAAAACTCCCATGGATGCAAACTCAGGTTTTGCGGCTTAGGTGCAGCCTCAATGGCACAGGACCATTTGGACAGCGAAGGAGGCCCCAGCAGCTGGGCTAGAGCATCCTCTCCACTCATCTTCACCAAGATAAGGTTCTTCCAGACCCGATCCAGAGCCTAGTGCTACTGCCACAGGACCCAGGAAAACATAGAGGGCTCATGGCGTAGTAAGAGCTCCCTGCAGCACAGGTGCAATACCTGCATCACTGCAGACACCCGTCACTCGAGGTGGGTAGCACGTGGCCCCACCATGACGCTTCTCACCTCACGTCGCGTTTCCTCAGCGGCCCAGCTCACACAGCACAGAGCCGTTCAGCATGGGCACATCCCGTACCTTCCTCTAGCAAACATCCTAAAGACATTTTCTCTTTGCAGCACTGCTTAGTGGTTATGAGTAATTATTTCCTGCAACACTATTTTCCACAGCTTTAAGAGTCGGTGATTTATTTTACTACTGTCCACCTATTAAATTTTCATCTTAGCAGGAGAACGGATGTTGAGCAAGAAGGCGGCATAGGTTGTGCATGATCATACATAATAAAACCGGCGGTAACCTTTCATGTTCCACTTTCTTGAGCTAAGTTTCCAGAGGGCTGATGCCCCTTTGCCAAGAGCATTACCAAGAAGCAATACCTACAAACACCAGCTTGAACTTACCATGTCCCCTTTTTCCAGCAGGGCTGCACACAGAGCTGGCACCGTCCCCCAGGAGCAATCCAGATAAACTCGGGAGCTGTAGCAATGCCCAACACACGTCCTATTGCTGGCAGGACTTCAAGCAGCTCACTGGGAAAAGCCGTCCGTGCGTTCCAGCAGGGAGCCGCGAGGCGGGCTCTGCTCCAGTGTTCTGCAGGGCTCCTGCAGCACTTCGGGATGGCTTTCATGGAGGGGAACCACAACACCCCACGCAGAGCTCCGATACCAAGAGCCGACATCATGGAAAACCCAGTCTCTGATAACAGTCTCCTGCCACGGGGGCAGAAAAAGTTTTGCCAGGCTTTTTCGCCTGTCATCTCTGTCTACTGTTATCCTTCCTTGCTCCGGAGTAAGGAGGTCAGCCAGACCCACGCAATTAGAGGAAATTGTGCACGGTTGACCTTGTAGCCTGCCAGGCCCTTTCAAGTGTGGGCAGTCTTTAGCAGGAACAGCATAGCAAACACAGAAGAGAGGTGCTGATAGGTGGGAGAATGAGATTGTTAAGACATTTTTTCCCTCACTCTCCGCAAACTAAGATAGTACCTCTGCCACTTGGGTGAACTTAGGTTATTCCCACTCATATCTAGCAGCCCATGGTTTCTTCCTTCATCTTGACTTCTGCTATTTTCATTCTGTGATGTCTGTACTTTTGCACTATTGGGAGTGGATTGTGTGTGGATCACTAACTTTTGGACAGGTCAGCTATCTCAGCCTGAGCACCACTAGATGGATACTAATAAGAGGAAACGAATACATCAAAGAAAATTCTCTCTTTTTCTCCTCATACCCCTCTCCCAGGCACACTGCTTTCTTCTGCTCTTGTTGTTGCTGCCCTTTCTCGCTCTGCGTTTATGCTCTGATTTCTGTAGATGGTACTGTACCAAGAAGAGATGAAGATTGACTTTCTAGGTCTGCTGGAACTACCTGAACAAGTCAGTGTGGAGCCTGCAATTCAAAAGGGACAACGTTTAAAAAAAAGACAATGGATGCTACAAACCGTGCACAAAATTTAACAAAACAATTAGATCAGTGGCTGTTAGGAGATGAATGATGAAGCTGTGGGGAACATGTCTATGGAGTTTGGAAATGGATGTTTGAAAGAAAGAACTAACCCCTCGACCGAACTGGGCCCTCCAGTCAAATTAAGTCGTTTGACAGCTGGACATGGCTGTTGCTAATTGGCCTAGATGGACAAGGCAGACCTGGAGAGTATCATCAGCGCTTGCTTTGTGGGGTGAAGATGAGGTGCAGGAGCCCTGCAACAGCCAAGCAAACCCCACTGTGCTTTGTTCAGCCAGCACCTCAGGGGGCTGCGAGTGGAAACGGGTTTGCTGTGGCTGCTAGAACAGTTTTCCTCAGGACATTTCCCCAGGACAACTCAATTCCCCCCTCCCTTGATGGCCAGTTGCAGAATCTGGAGCAGGATGTCACTGGCCCTTGTGTCAGTAACAGCAGCACTTGCCCCTGTGCCGACAGACGCAGTATGCAACGCCGAGCAGTCGCATGAGGCCATGGCAGGGCCCTTCCCGACAGCTGGGGCAGCCAGGAGCTCCCGGCCTCACTGCTGCCGGCACACGGGGGTCCCCCTGCACCACCACTGCATTTCGCCTGACAGATCTTTGCTAGCACTGATGTTCCCCACAAAGGCATGGCTCCAGGGCCACTTCACACATGTCCCAGGTAGGGAAAAATGGAAAAACAGTCAACTGGATCTGGACTCAGCAGGATGCAACAAGCAGGTATTCCCAAAGCACCATTTCCAGAGCCCCTCTACTTGAGCACTTCTGAGGCAAATAGCAAGTGCTGTATGAGTTGGAAGGACTGATCCTGGGCTAGAGCTCCTGTTTCTGGTTCACTGGCACATTACAAAAGATCAGACACCAAGGAGGAGAAACGAGGTGTCTTGGAGCAGCGACGCCTGAGATGAGGCGAGTAAACGTCTGGTCAACCTGCCAGCCCGGGAGCGAAGCGAGGTCAGGCGCACGGGCTGGGCTGCCCGACACCAGCCCTGGGTGCTCTGCACAGGCACCGCAGTGCTGGGAGACACGGGCACACACACAGCCTGCGGATCGACTCGCCTTCGCGACTCTCGCTCTTCCCAAGCGCGCACCTGGGGCAGCATCTCAGACACTAAACATGGGCCGCTCTGACCCTGGTTGCTTTTGAAACCTCGCTCCACACTTCTGGACAGGGCTATATTCTTCCCTGGTGGCCAGACAGAGAAAATGCAGTAAATTTACATTTTTCCAGCACAAATATTTTCTCCATTATTTGCTGCTAGCTGGAAAGCAGCAGGTGGGAGGACAGAAAGGGTCAGCGACCAGCACTGCTCCCATGGGCAGGAGAGCACAGAAGCTGCCCAGCAGCCATGGCCAAAGGCTGTGAGCACAGGAAAGAGGGAATGCGGATGCTGCAGACACACACCCCCAAGTTAGTTTGCTCTGAAGGCTTCACCAGGCCAGGATTCCAGAAAAGCAACATTTTGTGATCCCCATGTACCTACCCAGGCAAGGCTCCCAACATGGTGGTCAAGCAGTAGTCATTGTCCTGCGGTGCCCAGGACAGCCAGACTCCTAGGAGGGACAGAGACCCTTCCCTCCCAACCAGCATCGCCCCATCCCTCGGGCCTGCCCCGCTCACCCAGCCATCTGGGCTGTCCCTTGCAGGACGCCTGTGTTCCCGGTGCCCACGTCTCCCCGCGCAGCCGCCCACGCCTCCCTGCTTGCTAAGCGCCCATTAGCAGTAATGACTGGCATTTACAGAACATGTTTCCTCCCACGTGGCTCCAGAGGGGTTTGCGCGCAGAGCGGCAGATCCCCGCGAGGGACCCCAGCTCCCGCCGGGTGAAGCGCCTGGGGGCCACCCCGCAGTGCTGGAGCTGCCGGAGCGCAGCCCAGCGGGACGCACAGAGCCCCGCCGCCCGCCTCCCCACGGAGCGGGACGCCGCTGCCCGCCTCCCCACGGAGCCCCGGGAGCCATCCCCACGGCGCGAGGAACGCACCCAAATGCCGACCTCTGGGTGCAGCATCCACACGCACCCCTACTTCCCACGTGCAGCCTCTCAGGGCACATCTCTCCCCCTGCACCCATCTGGAGCAGGGACAAGAGCTCCGCAGGCTCCCAGCACCAGGGTCTCGGCAGTTATCAGGAGAAGGAGGGTGCCTGGAGCACAGCTTGGCCAGGCATTGCTGCTGCACTTGTTTCACTGCTTCTCTCTTACAGAAAGACAAGATACAGAAGCGTTTCCAAACACACATGTGCCACAGAACAGAGGTGCACATCTGTGTATCACATACATTTGCTCGCCAGGTACCAACCAAAATGGGTTTTATCTGAAACCAGCCCCTTAGTAATGATACCATGAAACTGTCAGAACTCCCTATAGAATGTTGCCTCCAAGTGCCTTAATACATACTAATCACTGACTATTTACAGTTTAAAAAAAGAAACACACATTGGGTATCTTGCCCAGGATCCATAGTTATATAAAAGATCAATATTACTTCTCTGCAGAAGAAACTTTAGAAAACATTAAGTATGTAGAAAATTGATACCAGTTACAATTCCTCACGACTATTGGTAGGTACAAAATCAAAGACTCTCAGTGGAGCAAATAACTCTCTAGTCACCACCCATCTTCAGCCCTTGGCCACCCTGCCCGCACCCCAGCACAGCCCTTCTCACTGCACCAGGGCCTGGAAAGAACCTGTGGGCAACATGCTCAGGGCTGAGAGGAAGAGGCTTTCACTCCCATACAGATGCCTTATTCTAGACCATCCCGCCCATCACATACCATTTCATAACAGGAAATGGTATCCAGGAGCCTCCATAGTATGTTAGAAAGTGCTTTCCTACACCTTCCCTTTTAACTTTAAACTTAGTGCACAAGGAAAGATCATGGGGATACGGACCAACCTGCTCTGGAGCTTCTGCTGTGCTGCTATACTAAGACCTCTGTTTCCCATGACATTTGCATGGAAATGCACAGGTTGCCCAACCTGCCTTCCGCCAGCCGTCCTTGCACACTCACACCATGGCTCTCCTGCCCCTCTGCACCCACCTGGACACAGCCCCGCAGCTCCCGAGAGCCCTGCATGCTTTATCACCTTGTCCTGCTTCACACGGACTTCCCTTACCATCTCCCCCGCTGCTGCGTCTCTCCTGCACATAAGGGATCCCAGTGATTCAGACCTCAGAAGCAAGAGCAACATCAGACATCAGCAGTCCTGGGCTAAGGGCCCTGCCATGTGCCCCTCAGCAAGAGGGGCAGCAGCACCTTGGCTAGCAAAGGAGGCACCGCTCTGCAGGGACACGGCGCTCGGGGAGAAACGCTCCCTGCGGAACAGCGGGACGCTGCAGACGGCCGCTGGCGCGCGAGGAGCGCACGAGGAGCACACTCCGTGCAGCCTCTGCCATGCCTGCGGGGCCGCTCGCAGGGAGGTGTTGGCGCCGCGAGCGGAGCCTTACGAAGAGCAGTGCCGACGTGGGCTACAGCGCAACGAAAGGTTACGCGCACAGAGCAGAAGAGATTTTTCTCCTTTTTCTTTATTTTCTGGCAGCACTTTTTCTTAAAGGAGAAGAGACCAGGCATGTTTTTTTCTTTTTTTCCTGTAGGCTTCCCTGCAAACTGAGCATCTCTGCACTGCTGCACGCTCATGCACAGTCACAGCTGCGTGCTGGCGGCTGGACACCCACGTCCTGCTGCAGCAAGGACAGGACAAGTCATGCTACAAAATGCAAGTGCTAGGAAGATATTTATATTTAAAAATGGATGGAAGCCCCTTTATAAGGCCTATAAAGCACTGAAGAGTATAATCTGAAGCCCCCAAGCCAGGCCCTTTGCTAAAGCGTTATAGTTATCTCACTCTGCTGCGTCACTTTTGTGGCACATTAATTTCAAATGGAAAACAGCAGAATGGCCAGAGAAGTGTCACCTGCAGGCTGCTACAGTAACTACTATCTGCAATAAAAATATACATCTAAAGAACGTGCAAACCTGCAAGGG